CACCCAGAGTACGCACGACGTATGAACCAAAAATGCCAACCCTTTTACAAATTAGGGTTAAAAGTGTACCTTCTCAGTACGAGTGTCACATCTTGATAGGGGAAAACTTTGGAAGTACTGCCCATGAAAAGAAATAGGTCAATATTTAGGGAAAACCATGAAAATGAAAATATCCAAGATGTAAGACCCCTACTTTTAGTTAGCCAATCTTATGAAGGAAGATCTTGTACAAGAGAAATAGTCTTAGCAAAGAAATATCTCTCTTTCCAATCATGATATGTAGAACTTTTTAAGACTAAATGAGAACTACCCGTCTTCACTTTGAGAACCACTCCAGAATAATCAAAAGTTTGGAGTTTATAGACACTTGCTATTTTAGACATACCAAGATTCAAACCCTCAGTTTCATTAAGATGGTGAATCCAAAATAGAACATGCCAAGTGGTCGGCATGACTCGGGTAGAAGAGAGTTTGATAACATGAAAAAACTCAGAAATAAGGGGAGGGAAAGGAAAGGATAGACCAATCGAAAAAGGCAACTCTTAGAAGCAAACCCAGGGTGGAGAAAGATAATCTGCTCTTAATTTTAGCACAGGAACCCTAAAGATTGTACCTTGTGGAAACTTACTTGACAATCTGAGCAAATTGATATCGACATTTAAAAATCTACTAACTTTACTTTCCTTCTCAGGTAACAAACCTAAATCTATGAAATCCTCAACAACAAGTTTCTTAGATCTAGCCCTAGCTCGAATGAGTCTTTTCCCCATGATCAAACAAACAAGAGTAATGCGATAATGGAAAAAGAGAGAAATTACTTAAGGAAAAACCCTTGATGATCGTAGAACAACTAAAGGAAGAAAGTAATGCAATAGGTTTATAATATGTTTTTCAAGCAGAAATCTCGGCCATTCAAAATTCAAACTTCCCAGGATAATCGATGGATAAGATTGAACTTGGAAATGCGAGCCACGTCACATCAGTGTGATCCATTTTCAAACGATAGAAATCTCCAATCACCCATGATCTTGGATTGAAGATTTTTTAGGGCAATTATTGTGGGTAGAAATTTTGATTTATTATTATTTATATATCGTGAACTTGAACTAACATCCCGGGTAAGTCCATGATCTTGAATTTATTTAGTATCTTGGCATGCCACTGTATTTATGTGAAATATTGTGTAGTGACTCACGACTTAATGGAAAAAGAAATCGACCAAGTCAATAACACTGTATTTATGTGAAATATTGTGTAGTGACTCACGACTTAATGGAAAAAGAAATCGACCAAGTCAATAACACGTGGTAAATACTTGAAGGACGTCGAATACCCTCGAAAAAGTCGTGTCAAGCGAAGATCAAGGAGAATCCTAAGATTCTTAGAATTTTAGTTATTATCGTTATGTATAACCAGTTGATCATACGTATACAAACACATTCAATTATTATTCTTCTATGATTCTTTTGGCACTTGATCACAAACACATTCTTTCTAATATCAACTAGCAATTGTAACTTTATTTACGATTTAATATAAGTTCTAAGGCATGCGAGTTTATCACATCCCGATGTTTTATGTCGGAGATCCAAAAGGATTAAGATTTTTCCTCATATATCACCGTGTTCTTGCTTTGGTTTCATTCATTTATAATTTTTTAAACGATTACAACAATGTTTGCATACTTCTTTGATCATTTATCTGTTTTCATATCAACATATCAAGATATTCTGTGGTATCTTGATACCTTTTCAAGTACTTTGATATTTTCTTACTTAAAATCATTTATTAAACATTTTTAACACTATTTTTTTCCCAAATATCTCAAATTCGTTTGCTTGCACTTCAAATAAATCAAGCCTATTAAATAGTTTTTTGAGCATTATTATCTATCTCTGAAGATCTTGGGCACGACCAAGATATTCAACATATTTCAAGAATCTCAGGCATTCTAGCTGTTAACACTTTATGTTTAACATCACACCACACATAATAATTTGGTTACGAAATTAGTTTGATAATTTTTGACCAAAACAACATCCATGCCTTAAATCACATCCTCATATATGTATGCAATACTATAGATTATGGGCTACAACTCCATCCTTATTGTACCACGAGTCTTATTGCCTATTATGATGTAGATCTGCGTGAGGGAAGGGCCGGGGGGGGGGAGGGGGCATCCACTATGTGATCTACTAGTGGATACTATGTTTTTCTGGGTGATAGCCTCATATATTGGTCATCCGAATGACAACAGACTATCTCTCACTCCAGTACTGAAGCAAAATACCGATATGTTGCCAATACGGTAGCCGAAACCTGGTGGCTATACAACCTTCTACGAGAGCTACACCCACCATTTCACAAAGCAACAATTGTCGATTGTGATAACATTAGTGTTGTTTATCTGTCAACCAATTTCGTACAAGATCAACACACTAACCATATAGAGATTGATATTCATCATGGGGGTGTTGAGGGAAGACAAAATGGGTAGATGCATATAATCTAATTATATATATATATATATATATATATATATATATATATATATATATATATAGAGAGAGAGAGAGAGAGAGAGAGAGAGAGTTAGGTTTATGTGAGACGACCTAATTTTGTGAGACCGTGAGACACATTTTTTTATTTTTATTTATTTATTTATTTTTTTTAGTTAATTCAAGTTCCGAAAATAATATTTAAAAAAAGATTTTTTTGATTTTTCCATTTATTTTGCATTTTAAAATTATTTTTAGAATATGTACAATGTAATATTCTATTTAGAATATTTCACGTATTTTTCAAAAAGAATAGGATTTTTTAAAATTTTTTTTTAGTTAATTCAAGTTCCGAAAATAATATTTAAAAAAAGAATTTTTAGATTTTTCCATTTATTTTGCATTTTAAAATTATTTTTTAGAATATGTCAGTGTAATATTTTATTTAGAATATTTCACGTAATTAAAAAAAAAAAAAAACGGGATTTTAAATTTTTTTTTAATTTTTTTAATTTGTTTTTAGTTAATTCAAGTTCCGAAAATAATATTTAAAAAAAGAATTTTTGGATTTTTCCATTTATTTTGCATTTTAAATTATTTTTAGATTTGGTCTCACGGTCTTACAAAATTAGAATGATCTCAAATGAATCTCAATATATATATATATATATATATATATATATATATATATATATATATATATATATATATATATATATATATATATATATGGGGATAGAGAATATACATTACAGCCCCACCTAAGCTTAGGTACTAAACCTCTAAAATATATCGTTTTAACATGCTAAATATACCCGGTTTGGTTTCACTTGGTAAATATATCATTCTCCATAACATTTCTTTCTTTCATTATCGTTTTATCATTTCCGTTTTCTTTCCTCAATTATCGTTTATTATTTCATCCAAATGAACATTACTAAACCCTAAACCTAAACCTAAACCTAAACCCTAAATTTAAACCCTAAACACTAAAGCTAAACCCTAAACCCTAAATCTAAACACTAAACCCTAAATCCTAAACCCTAACCCTAAACCTTAACCTTAAACCCTAAACTCTAAACCCTAAACCCTATTGTGTCGATCTTGAATTTACATCTTGAAGTATTAATCGTGAATCCATCAACCGTAATCTTTATATAGTAAAACAATGTATTTTCAAGAGGTTTAGTACCTACGCTTAGGTGGGGCTGTAATGTATATTCCGTTTTCCCTATATATATATATATATATATATATATATATATATATATATATATATATATAGGTTCAGGTTCATTTGAGACTATTCTAATTTTGTGAGACCGTGAGACCAAATCTAAAAATAATTTTAAAATGCAAAATAAGTGGAAAAATCCAAAAATTCTTTTTTTAAATATTATTTTCAGAACTTGAATTAACTAAAAAAAATATAAAAAAAAAAATAAAAAAAAAATTCCGTTTTTTTTTTGAAAAATACGTGAAATATTCTAAATAGAATATTAGACTGACATATTCTAAAAAATAATTTTAAAATGCAAAATAAATGGAAAAATCTAAATTTTTTTTAAAATATTATTTTTGGAACTTGAATTAACTAAAAAAAATTAAAAAAAAATAAAAAAAAATTCTATTTTTTTTGAAAAATACGTGAAATATTCTAAATAGAATATTACACTATACATATTCTAAAAATAATTTTAAAATGCAAAATAAATGGAAAAATCAAAAAATTCTTTTTTTAAATATTATTTTCGGAACATGAATTTAATAAAAAAAAATAAAAAAAATAAAAAAAAATAAAAAAATACGTCTCACGGTCTCACAAAATATAGGTGGTTTCAAATGAACCTAACCCTATATATATATATATATAAAAGTCCTTCGTACACTATTAATTTGACCTCCCGTTCAAATTGCATAAATACAATTACTTCTTTATTCACAAACTTCAAATCCACTTTGAGTGTGCGTTTGACCTCCGGTTCAAATTGCATAAATATAATTACTGTATATTAATTTGTACATTTTTTCTAGAGTTTATTTTGGTATAACTATTTAGGCCATTGTATAAATTGTAGCCCATCTTATATTGTATTTATTTTTGGAATACAATTATGGGAAAATATCTCTCTTTCATATATTTTTTTAATAACCGGATAAAATAACGTTTCCTTACTTCTCTTTCATTCTTCCAACTCCTAAATAGTATTTATTTCCTCCCTTCCATTCCACTTTCTTACTTTCTTAATTTTAAAGCACGAGAATATGAGGTTAAAAAACCAAAAATATTACACATTTATTTGCCCATGAACAAATGACTATGAGCTAATACTATACTTGAAAGAGACACACAATTCTCAAATATTGTATTATTAATGTTTTGATTATCCATCGTTCATAAATAAATTAAGATTTTTTTGGATCATTCCAACATCCAGATTTGAAAAATAAATCACATATTTAAATTTGAATCTTAGATATATTTAAAATAAGGATTGCCTCATATTTTCAAGCGATTCCACTAATAAAATAACGAAATCATGTTATATAATTTTGGGTAAAAGAAAAAAGGCATCCTCTCGTTCCTTGCCTTCCATAGTCCTTTACTATATAAACCCTGAAACCCTTTTGACGCAAAATACTCGTTCCTCATTCCCCTGTACGCACTCTCGTTCGCGCCCCAGCGAGATCCGTAATCGCAACAACAAACCCTAACCAAGAAGTAGAGAGAGAAAGGAAGAACAGGATCACAGATTCTCTCTTTCTCTCTCACTTCAGCTTCGATCTTAACACATCTTGATCCTTGATTCTGGTACGGATTGTTTTCTACGCATCTCCATCTCTGTACATTTATATTCTCTGCAATTATCGTTAGATTTTTTTGTTTATGCTTTATGCGTGCACGTTTCCTCTGTTGTTTTGGATGTTTTGTAACGATTAGTAGTTTTTTTGGCATGTTTTCCCAGGAGTTTGGCATCGATCTATAATGGCGGCTCCGACAGAAGTAGCGGCGCCTGTATCTGCTCAAGTTGTATGTATCGAATCATTGAGCTTTCTAGATCACTTTATGCTTGTTTGAGATTTTCTTTATGGCGGCGCTTGATACAGAGCCCCCAATTTAATTCTAGCTGCACTGTTCTTGAAAGAGGATATTTTTAATTCTACAACATTGATTCTCTCCGTCTATAGTTATTTTATCTAAAACGATGAAAAGAACGCTTGATAATCCACCACTACGCCAATTTAATGAAATCCAGTGGCGTGGGGGATAATATTCCCAACAGCTTGGGAATATGTTTGCTTTTACATGATTCCGTAAATATGTAACATAATGGTTAAAAGGTCATTAAACCATCATTATGTTTTAATATTTCGTTTGCGACTCCGATATATCAATGTGTTATTATTTGATTGCATTGTTTGTAGTTAAATGATTCTCATTGATGTTTCTTTGATTGCTAACAAACAGGTTGGGAATGCTTTTGTTCAGCAGTACTATCATATACTGCATCAGTCACCTGGGCTAGTTCATAAGTTCTATCACGATAGCAGTAAAATTGGTCGCCCTGAGGAAGATGGTACTATGAGCGTAACTACTACCATGGATGTATGAGATCTTTCTCCATCTTTTTTATTCATAAATTATGTGTTTAAAGTCCTTCCTTTATTTTTTCATGTTTGTTCTTAATCCTGTTACTGATTTGCAGGAAATCAATGCTAAAATTCTGTCCCTTAACTATGAGGATTTGAGGGCTGAGATCAAATCCGTTGATGGGCAAGAATCATTAGGTGGTGGAGTCAACGTTCTGGTCACTGGACATTTGACTGGAAAAGATAACATTGTGCGTGATTTCACACAATCTTTCTTTCTCGCCCCTCAAGACAAAGGCTACTTTGTGTTGAATGACATGTTTCGTTACATGGATAAACCTAAACACACTGAAGTTTCCACTGAGGATGCTGTGGTGGTGGATCCTGTAACCCCTGAGCAAGAAACTGTTGCAATACCAGAAAATCACATCCCTGAGGAGGAAGCTGCTGATTCTGATGTGACAGAGGAACCTCAACCAGAAAAGAAGATTTCTTCTGAGGAAAATGGTGAAGTAGCCATTGTAGATGAGGAAGTTGAAGTTGAAGATCCAGTTCCTGAAGCTGTTGTTAATGAAGCGCCAGTGCCCAATTCATCATCAGTGGTGGCTGTTGAAGTTAACACCAAAACCGAGGAAGCCCCAAAGAAATCTTATGCATCTATTGTAATGGATCTGAAGAAGCAAAATGGTGTGCCCTTTTCATCTCCACCACCTGTAATGAGGAGACCTCAACCAAGAAACCAAGAACAACAAGCATTGAATAATGCTGTTGCCAATACCACCACTGTAGCACCTGAACCAGCTGCTGCTTCCAATGTGGATGCTACTGAAAACGGTGTTCATGAGGAAGAAGGTAGGGTTACATTTGTCATGGAGATCTTTCATCTTTCTGTTATGGATTCATCATAAGATTTTGTTTTTGAAAATTTTGTGTAGGTGAAGGTTACTCGGTGTATATTAAGGGTCTTCCAATGAGTGCTACACCTGCAATACTGGAGGAGGAGTTTAAGAAGTTTGGAGCAATTAAGGCGAATGGGATTCAAGTTCGAAGCAACAGGGTATGTATTGACTTCATCTTTCTGGTGTATTTCAATATGTTTTTGATTTTGACTTGCGAAAACTCATATAGCAGCAACAGGGTTTTTGTTTTGGTTTTGTTGAATTTGAGACGCCTGAGGCTGTTCAAAAGGCGATTGAGGTATGTATGTCAGTTGTTGATTTGATTTATTTATTTATTATTTTTTTGTAAATTTGACATTTTTATTTTAATATTTAGGCATCACCAGTCCCAATTGGTGGACGCAATTCTGTTGTTGAAGAGAAGCGATCCACAAACTCCCGAGGTATTTTATGTGTTTTTTTTTATTTGGTATAATGAGGGTAGTTTGGTCTTTTAATTAAATTCTTGAGTAAGTATATGACAAGGGTGTTTTTGTCTTTTAATAAAAACGAAAGAATGATTAATTTCTTATGCATGTTGCATGGATTGTGTAGGAGGAAGCCGGGGAAGATTTATGGTGGGAAGGGGAGGTGGTGGATTCAGGAACGAAGGCATGAGAGGAGGGCGTGGAAACTACGGTGGGGGTAGGGGTTACAACCGTGGCGGTGGCGGTGATTTTGGTGGCAGCCGGAATGATTATGGGTATAGAAGTGGCGGCGGCCGTGGAGGAGCAGCTTCAAACCGTGGCGGCAATGGCAATGGCAATGGTTATCAGAGAGACAACAATGGCGGAGCCGCCCGAATTATGGCACAGTGAGTTTCCGAAAAGTGGATAGTGGTTCCTGACTTTATTTTTGGCTTTGCATTGGTAAGCAAGTAAGGTGATAAGATAATAGAGACGGATAGAAAGAGGTTTGTTTTTTTTTTTTTTTTTAAATTTTTTTTTTTTTCCAAGTTGTAGTATAGTCGTAGTCGTGATTTTTTTTTGTTTGGAGATTGGTATTATTTTGGTGACAATTGCTATTGATTTTGTTCAGGCGAAATTTGATGAGTTAGGTCCTTTTTTTTTTTTTTTTTTTTTTAAAAAAAATACCTAACTCGGATGAATCATATTCCTTTTACTTCAAACTCGACTGATTTGGTTGTATTCAATCCTAACTTTGTGTTTCTACACAATCTTAAGTTGGATAATATATTTTGAAATCGTAAATAAACATGAAGCAGAGCCAACAAGAAAAGTGCTTTTGAAAAGTATGGTTTTGTAATTATGTTCGACATATTTATCATGTATAAATCTTAAAATACGTTGATAGGTCAATTTAACCTAACTGATTGTCTTTTAATATCTATATAATGTAACATGTTATATACATTATAAGAATGGTTTGTCTATTCATGCACGTTCGTCATGTTTAAATCAAAATACAATCCTAAACTGAAGTTATTATGGCTAAATTTTGTTTAAAGTTTGGTCATTTTTTATGGGTTACTTTTTAGCTATTAGTGTTTTTTTAAACACCCAACCATAAATTAGAATGAATCACAAAATGTTTTCACGATATTGCAACCATCAAATCCATTTAATAGAGTATTTTCCATTTCTATTACTTATAACCAAAGAAAAAAAATTCAAGGTTTAGAATCGAAAATAACATCTTTTGTTTGTCACCACAGCCTTTTTTAGTGGTTCTTTTGTTTGTGTCACTACAAGTTTTAGCAAATACAGCCTTTTTTAGTGGTTCTTTTGTTTGTGTCACTACAAGTTTTAGCCAATACAGACACATAGAGTAACATTTTAGATCTTATTTTTAGTGACACTAATAACTTATTTTTAGTGGCACTATAAAAATTTATTACATATAATAACTATTACGATTTTGTAATGCTTGTTATATATATATATATATATATATATATATATATATATATATATATATATATATATATATATATATATATGAACGAATACTTGACTGGTTAGGTGTTAATGTTAATATTTTAATTCTTGTTAGCACAAATATTTTGAACCCTCACATACACATTCTCTTAATATCATTCTTTCGTATTAAGAGGTTAATTCTTTACCAACTGGGTTATTCCTAAAAAAAAAAAAAATTACATGCCTAAAAAAATCCTATTACTTGAGAAGTAAAAACATACTATTTTCCTTGTAGTTATCATCATGAAAACGAAAATTACTCAAAAAACAAAAAAACCATGCTTCCCAAAATCCATCCATATGGAAAGAATGAACGATCAAGAGATGACAAAACAAAGAGAAACAAAAAATATTTGTTTGTGTGTTTTGTATGCGATAGGAAGAAAGGATTCACATTCCGCACACACAATATGTGTGTGCATTCCATGATTTCCATCGACTGAATCAGAGAGACATCAAGATATCACAAATATAAAGACGAGGAGAGCAGGAGCAAGGTTGTTAGGAGAGGCGACTAATGCGGCAAAAGGAGGTGTTGGAGGTGGTAGTTACGACGACGTTGATCATCAATGACTGAGATTGATTATGGATAGTTCTAACAATGTTCACTGTTATGCTAATTTGAAAATAAATCATGAGGTAATTTCTAAACCCTAACTAAGTTGATTGATGATGTTTGATTTTTGTATGAATTGTTATCCGGGCATCATTAATTGGGTACAAGGTGAAATTCAGCCCGTAACTTGATAGGGAAACCTGGGTGGTATGTTAGAGGAGGAAATAAATGTTTCTGGGTCTTCTTTTTCTTCCCGTGCAACTGGTGTTTCATCTATGGCGGTGTCCAATCCCTTTGTTTGAATTGAACTTACAAATCTGAGCCTAATTCTCTTCGTATGAACTTTTAAATGCTTTAATTTGTTAATTATGTTATTAGTTACGTCCAATTGCTCCAGCTTACATTTTTTTTTTGTTATGAGATACCTCATACTTAGTAAATTTGTGTTGATGATTGTAATTACAATGTAAGTCCCTCCAACTTGGTGTTATGATTCTATTTCTGATAGCTTCAAAATCATAACCCTCTTTTCTAATTAGATAATTTTGGTTATGGTTGGTTGTATGTCAAACGTATTGTAGGATGATATACACCCTAAAGTAAAAAGAAGAACTCCAGTATGGTAAGTCCTTTTGGGTATAATATTAAATATATAACATTATATAGGAAAAGTTGATGGGTTATTAGGGTTACAACTACAATGCACTAAGCAGAAAACATTTAAACAATTCAAATGATTAGGGCACATGCAACCTAATACGATCTATGTCTTTCACATATAGCAACATACTATGAATACTAACCCAAAAAGCTTTCCTATGAACAAACTAATTCACTAGACAGGAAAAACTAACCTTGAAGATTGTTATAACAAACAATCTTGAATTCCTCATTGAAAGACTCTTGGAAGCAAGCACTACAAGTGTCGTGCCTCTAATAGTTCACACCAAAATCCTAGCAACTAAGGAACTTGAAGAGAGAGAGGAGAGAGGTGAGAATTTGTGCCCTAAGCCTCTAAAGAAAAGTCATGGCCGAAATTCTAAGGCTAAGGGTCTTTTTATAGCTGAGGTAGCTTGGTGCCAAAGCTAGGGTTTAAGGAGGAAACCCTAATCCCTTTGCTTGGTGACCAAGTAGCCCATTCTTCCTTATGCAAGGGCTTGGATGAAATTTCTTGGGGTTGCCTAAGAGATTTTCGTCCACCTCATCCAATGAGGTCCATGGGCTCCTTTCCTCAACTTTCAATAAATAACCAAACAGACCCTGCACTTTTAATTAATCTAATTAATCCCAAAGTTAATTACAATTAATTTCTGATTAATTATTAATTAAATAATACTATTTCCAATTAATATATTATTCTCATAATATATTAACAAATTATTTATTTGATTTCTAATTGATTTATCAACCAAGTAATAAATTAATAAATCGGTTTCTCTCTCTCTCTCTCTCTCTATCTATCTACCTCTCTCTCTCTCTCTCTCCCCTTCTCTCTCTAAAAGCTATTATATTCAATTGCTAGGTTTAAGGGCAACCCAAAAGGACTATGGTACTATCAAGTCAAGTATATACTAATTATAGTTATGAGCTTAGACCCCCAAACCAATAGTCTCCCACTTGGATAAGTCTGTAACTATAGTTGTCAGTATAAATTCCAAACTGATCCGCAAAATATAGCTTGCAAAAGCGGCTGTCGAACTCTAACCCAGTTAGTTACGTGTCCTAAGATAAGTGATCAAATATTCCCCCATTCTACAAGATATCGTTCAAACACGAGACATGAATTATAATCAATCTCATTGTCCAAGATTTTGTTTCCCGATTTTCAGATTTATGAAGACTGAAGTCAGACTGCTAAATGAACTCATCGATTTAGTCCAGGCTTGGCCAAACACTTCTAATGTCAACATCAAATCATCGAGGGGACCAAAGATATCTCTTTTCCCATTAGGGAAAAAGGAACGAATAAATTTTGACTTATATGCTTGCACTATTTACTCATCAAATCATGCACAACAATACATTTTAAAACATCAAGTTACTAATGCATTTACGTATTATCAATGCACAACTAACTTGTAAACAATAGCTCATATATCTCAGTTTCAAGAATATAAGATATTATCGTCTCAAAATTACTTGTGATAACATCCATGAAGTAATTCTCTAAGCGTGGGTTTATCCAATACTCAACATTCCTATTTTCTAAGTACTCATGAATATTGTAGCAACTATTGCAATGTCTAATCTCCATAGACAATCTACAATTCAATTCATGTCGGTCTTAATTTGATACCTACTTCTAAAAGTATGATCGAATGTGGAATTTTGAATAATCAAATTATCCATGAAGTATAACCTGCAAAGTGGAAACATAATAATAACCTAATTAACCATGGTCTCAAAACTATTAAATATAAATAAAACCCTTATTATTTAATCACCATATTAATTAGACTTTATTCATTGTATAATATTTCGAGTAATCAACCAAACAGTTGAATTAAACATCAGTCATGACATGTTATAAACACGCATATTATGTCTCTCTATGGTCCTTCCTTTGCAAACAGAACGACTGGACACTATTCCAATGATGCTCATTTCACAATTCAAAATTATTGTCACTACTAGAATGTGTTAGAGTTCAACCTTACATGTACTGATCTTCTGTGATGTCGAGGCTTCAAAGTCATAGAGACATATCTAACGATATCATAGAATATCCTATTGGAACTTTGTTACTAAAAACAATTCTATGGTAATGAAGTCTCAAATTCAAGGTACACTCCTTGAACACCTTTTTTGCATTAAAGTTTCAGACTCACATGTAGATTTTAATAATTAACTCCCATTATGGAAACATTTCCATATTCCTATATGACCATCAATTTTGAACAAGAATTACCTCCATCCATAATTATGTCAATATGACCTGTCCAAATTAATACTATACTTTCAATTGTTCATAAACAACCAATATTTTGGTGTAACCTTAGCACATTCTTGAAAGTTGTTTAACAACGTTAGTCACACAAAGTTCTAGTCCTTTTCCATTTTCAACGACCAAGGCATTTGGAAAAACATAACAAATGAATATTATAACATCTGTAATCAATCCTATATCTGAAGCATATGAGACTAGATTCATTATATCTTACATAGAGACCTTATATCTCTTGCTATAATATTTCCATATATTGAATTTCCTATGTTGAATCATTTCAACATGATATTCATATATATCCAAGACTAAGTTTTATTAAACCATTCAATCTAAACCTTTATATTAGAAAGCAGTATGAGTGCCCTCTCCCTTAAGTCTAACCATAGCGAAACAATCCTCAAACTTTGCAACTTGTAAATTTGTAAACTTTGTCTCCTAAAAATAGTATTGCCAACTTGCAACACTTCGCATAACAATTATGCTCCCACTAGCATAACAATTATGCTCT